GATGAACAAATGTGGGGCCATGAGTGTCTTCTAAGAGGAGACAGTGGAGGAGTGCCAGGCCTTCTGACCTGGAACTTCGCCTTCTGTTCCCTTCCGTATCCTTCCTTTAATTAGGGTATCTATTATTTTTTTTTCTTTAATATATTTTATTTATTTTGTACAGAGAGGAAGGGGGAGAGATAGAGAGTTAGAAACATTGATGAGAGAGTCATCGATCAGCTGCCTCCTGCACACCCCCTACTGGGGACATGCCGGCAACCAAGGTACATGGCCTTGACCGGAATCGAAACCATGACCTTCAGTCCCCAAGCCGATGCTCTATCCACTGTGTCAAACCGGTTTCGGCTAATTAGGGTATCTTTTAAATGTTAAAGCTGATCAATCTCCACTCTTTCAAGTCAAACAATGGAGTTAAAACTCGGCAATTGGCGATTATAAATCTCTGAAGGAACTGACACACCCAGGAAGGAAGAATGAAGATTTTGAACATCCTAAACAACTTGCTACTTGGTACAATAACAGCCACGTGACATGGTGGAGCTACCCAATCCAAAATTTGCCTTTATTTTATCTCTCAGGTCAAATGAACGCCCAACAGGGAAGGGCCAAGCTCAGGCCAAGCTCAGAGATTTAAAAGGAGATTGATGCCCAAGAGGGGAGAGTTGTCACAGAACATGAGCTCAGTGCCGGCCTTCTGGTCCAGGTGAATCATATTTAAGCCTCTAACTCAAGTGAGAGGATGAAAACCTGTTTGGAATAATGAAGCAGGAGGTTTGTGGGTATTTTATCGGCGAGCTAATCATTGGAGACAGCATGGGCTCACACAAAACGGAGTCCTGCCAGTTGAATCTTATTTTCTTTTGTTAAAGGCAACTTGTCTGGCAAGGAACCGAATCAAACAAAACAACAATAATACACAGTTCTGCCATTAGGAATCTCAAACCATTTCTGCAGGATAAAACCTGCGTCTTGGGACCAGAAGTGAGGACATTGTCTAAGAGCAGCATTGGGGAACTTCCTCCAGGAAAGAAAAGCTGGGAAAGTGGGAGAGAGTTTTGCCATGTAAAATGTGGCTTAACATAAACAAGACAGAAAAGTAACAATCAGAGGAGGAGAGATCAGACAGAAGGGAGTCCGGGGGCCCAAGGAGGAGGAGCAGTGGATGGAGGAGTGATCAACAGCATCAACTGTTAGTGGGACTGTGGTGGTGGTGGTGGGGGGGAATGTCCTTTAGATGTAGCAGACAATAAGACACAAAATTTAGAGAAAATGGTCGCTATGCAACCTCCCTTGTGGAAGTTACTTAGTGGTTTTTGTGCCTAAGGTTTCTCATTAAATAATACTAATATGTGCAGCACTGGGTTGTTATAAGATTACATAAAGTATTTAGCATAGTGTTGCCACATAGTATGGTCTCAATCAATATGTTTTTATGGTTGCTGTTGTGTGTCTACCACAATGTGCTATGTGTCAAACACTCACAACCTCCCTAAGTGGCAGATGCTAGAATTTCCTGTTTTACAGGGGAAGGACGTGAAACCAGGTATTTAAATAATGTGTCTCCTCCATCCACGGCTCCTCCTCCTTTGGCCCCCTGTCTCCCTCACGTCTGATCTCTCCTCCCTCTGATTGCTGCTTTTCAGTCTTGTTCTTGTTAAGCCACATTTTACATGACAAAACTCTCTCCCACTTTCCCAGCTTTTCTTCCCTGGAGGAAGTTTCCCAATGTGGCAACTCAATCCTGACCTTTCTATGGATGAAAACTGTTAGGTCGAGGCAGGGGGGAAGCCCAGAGCACATACAAGCATCTGCAAGGTGGATGGTGACAAAGATAGCTGGCTAGCTGGCACCTTCCTAGACCGCTGGCCTGAGACAGGAATTCCACACCTCTCATGCCCTCCACCCTCCCCTCCCTAAACAGCCAGATAAAAGAAGTACCTATGCCGCTTTTTGGTGTGAACTTCCCTGGCCCACCCTCTGACCAGCGAGTTTCGCCCTGGAGCTCAGATCAAAACCTTCCCCCCTTTTCAATGGCCTGGATTCCGTGTCTTGCTTCTGTGTGGCAAACCTCTCAGCTGGGACCTTACAATAACGAATGTCCCCTGTGAACCTTGCAGGACTGCCAAGGACTCCTTGTGGCTAACAGGGTCCCCAAATCATAGCCAGAATCAAGCAGCCATTGCTGACAGAGACCACACACTGCATTCCAGGGAAAAGCCACAAACTGAGTTTCCAAGCCTTCTGCACTGTGTTCCTGGCATCTGAACTGAACCTTACAAAGGAGTCATCTTTCAACCAAAGGGCTGAGACCTGCCCCATTCAATTGGAACTGTGCAGCTCTATCTTCCTTTGCACATATGCTGACCAATCAGGACAGTGCAATTCAGATCAATCAAACTGCAAATTTGGATTTCTCATTTGCATAAAAATGGACCAATCCGGGGTCAGGGTAGAAAGTTCTCTCTGAAAGCAGACCTCCCTTTGCTTTGGGGAGTGCATTTCCCTGGATTGCAAACTGTTCACCTGAATAAAGTTCTTTTTTACCACACCAAGGCTGGGGACTCCTGTTGGCATTAGATCAGTAGCAGTGAGCTTTTGTTGATACCCCTCTCCTAAATTCTAGGCACACAATTCAAGCTGTCATCAAGAAACAACCACATACAACCCTCATCAGTTTTTGACACTTACTTGTTTTTTCTTCTTTCTCATTCGATGGGTCACATTCTTGTCAACTAACATTTTAAATGTTATTCAAATTTGAAAGTTTCCAGAAATCAGCCAATGCCTCTAGCTCCATTTAGGCCCTCATCATATCTTGCCTTACTTACCAAAGTAATTTTTTCTTCATTTTAAAAATTAAAGTATAGTTGACATACAATATTTCATTCGTTTTAGGTGTACAACTGTAATTATAGATTTGTTTGCCTTACAATGTGCATCATGGTAAGTCTAGAAACCATCTGTTCCATTCAGTTATTACATTATTGACTGTATTCCCTATATATACTTTACATCCCCGTGAATTACTTTGCATTGACATGGCTCCTCCCCACCGTTACTACAGCAGCCCTAGCACCACACTCTGGGTCCCCCTCCACCTCACAGGTATTGCCCTCCTTTCGGGACCAGCTTCTGCTCTCCCTCCTCCACAGGCTCCCTCTCCGCAGCTTCTTGTCCTCTCTCATTTACTAGGGTAAAAAGTACACTTGCCTTCTTACAATTCTCCAGAGTTACCTTTACAATTCTGCATTTTCTCTGCTATCCCAATAGAACAGCAATTTTCAGCTGGAAGAATTTTTAAAACACGCAATATCTGAGTAGTTAGTCATGGGCACTGACCTCTTTTTCCTAAGATGCAAATAAAAATATGACAATAGCTAACATAACAAAAGCTATTCAGTGTGAATGAAACAAGATTATACCTTTTTTTGTTGGATTGGCCAAAAAAAAAAAAAAATTTTTTTTTAGTGTGTGCTGCAGAATTTTAGTAAGTAGTTTGTGTACCATGACATGAAAAGGCTGAAAACTGCTGCAATAGAAGGTCCTTCAGGCCCTACTACCAGTCACAGCGGGATTTCAAAGCATTTCTGTTGGGTGAACACTCCGTGGCATCCTGAATTACCTTTCTGCACATGATTTGCTTTGGGATGTCCCTAGCAACAGCACAACCTTATGGCTAAGAATGCCAGTTACAGCGATTCTACCCTAATTGTTTTAGAGCGGGGCCTGGACACGAGTATATAAAAGCAACAAGAACAACAAAAATCAGGGTTACCTTGCCTCCCCATACAATGAAAAATGGCAGGTACCATTTTTTTTCTGAGTGTCAGGTTTTTCATTGGCAAAATGGAGATAACACTTACACAGATCTTGTTGGGCCATCCAGAGAATTAAAGGAGATTGTATGTCTAAAAGCCTTGTGGTACAGTGCCCAGCACACACACGAAAGAGCTCGGTACTGTGCAGTTAGGTAGTTATTTCTGGGTTTACTGCACAAAAGGCTGAAGAGGTGGATGTATGAGAGGTGCCCTGTATTTCCAAATTCTGTGATATCCTTCCTTGGTGTGTCCTGGAAACACGCTGGCAAACCCTCAGATTTCCAGTCAGTTGCTCAGACTGCCAAGATCTACAAAGCTCCAGGTAAGTCCGGATGTGTTTCTCGGGTGCCATTTGGCCTTAGTTCTGACCTGAGACCCTCCACCTTCTCCCCATGTGACCAAGGTGGTGGAAAAGGTCCTGCGCTTGGGAAATCTTCCCTTTGACGGCCCCAAACCCGACGTTTGGGCATCTAGTACTCGCAGGCCCATGGTGGTTTTTGGACAGGCGGTGCTTTTCAAGTTTGTAACTGGGGCTCTATGTTCTCCAGATCTGGCGGGTGTGGTCCAGTCTGCACCTTTTTTCCTCCACGCACCGCACCCCAAAAAACGTGTTTTGGCCACACGTGCCAAATTTGGCGAGGGGAGGAAGTGGAAGAGGTTGGCTGTGCATCAGGTCGGAGGGGTGCGGTGGCGAGAGCGCCCGGAGCGCTGGGAACCTGGGTGCCACCGCTCTGAGCGCGAGGTGCGAGCGGAGCCCCGCGCTCCTCTCTAGGCGCCGGCGAGCGCCCGGAGCTCCCCGCCGGCGGCGCCCCAGCCGGGGCCGCCCAGACCCCACTCCGCGGCGCGCACCCTGACCCGGACCCGCCCCGCCCCCGGCGGCCGTGAGTGGCGGGCGGAGCGCGAGGTGCCAGGCGCGCGGGGCTGTGCGGCGCCACCGCTCCCGGGGCCGGGGGAGGGCCGGAGGGGCCGGAAGGGAGAGAGAGAGAGAGAGAGAGAGCCCCACCGACCGGCTGGCTGGCAGAGAGCTGCATGCAACCGGTGGGAGGCCGGGCCGGCTGGGGCTGGGGCTGGGGCTGGGGCCGTGTCTCCGCGGGTCCCCGGCGGCGGCGGCTCTGAGCTGGCAGGCGGAGGGCTGTCTCCCGCGCCCGCCTGCCCGGCGCGGTCCGAGGATGCGGGGGGGCGATGCCAGGGGCCAGGGACGCGCTCTGTCACCAGGCGCTGCAGCTGCTGGCCGAGCTGTGCGCCCGCGGGGCCCTGGAGCACGACAGCTGCCAGGAATTCATCTACCACCTGCGGGACCGCGCCAGACCCCGGCCCCGCGACCCAGGTGAGCGCCGCCGCCGCCGCCGCCCGCCCGGCGCGGTCCGAGGGCCCCGGGCTGGGAGCGGGGGCCGCACCGGGGCCTGAGGCAGGAGAGCGCCGCGGGCTGGAGGGAAGGAAGGGAGGGAAGAGTGTGTGGGGGGGGTTTTTGCCAACGAGCTAGAGGAGGGGATCAGGACGTGCACACCCCCCCCCCCCAACCCTGCCCCAGGCCTGATGCTCAAACCGGGCGGGGACCCGAGGAAGGCTGCTGAGCGGAGGCCGAGCCCAGGTGGGCTGGGGTAAGGTTGGGGGGACCACGCCCGCCACCTGCGCTACCATCGCTCGGGCTCCTGGGGGCGGCTCCGGAGCGCACAGCTCCGCGCCCACTTTCCCCTGCTCTGTGCACTCTGGGCCGGGGAAGGCCACGATGGCCTTGGAGCCCTGGGGAAGGGGGCCGAGGCCCGAGGAAAAGTCTGGGAAGTTGAGACTTGGGGACGGGCCCGTGCAGCGACTGAATCCCACCGGGCGCTCTTCATCCTGGCGCCAAAGCGCCCATTTCTCTTCTCTGGTCTGGCTGAGAAGGGCGGGGAGGGATCTGTCACTGGGAAGGGGACAAGAAGCCCCAGGTCCTGGACATCCGGGCCTGAACCCGTTCCCTGCGGGCCCCTTGGCAGTGGAGGTGGCCTGGGCCTGGCGCCTGGCGTGACCAGCTGCCACCTCTGGGCACACCTGGGCCAGTGGGCTCTCTGGTCAAGGTGTGTGCACCTGCAGTGTTATCCCCAGGGAAAGTTGCGAGGCTCCTAACTTTGGAAAGTTTATTTATCTTGGCATTTGATCAATCAAGGCTGGAGGAGGGAGTTTCGGTGGAGCCATTTGCTTTCCCCAAAGGCTCTGGGTCTCCCGCGTCTGACTTCTCATCCACTACTAGTTACATGCACAGTCCCTGTAAATATTTTCTTGGGATTCTACTCACCTGGAAAAATATTTTTTCGAATATTCTCTCAGCCTAAATACAAAAAAAAAAAAAAAAATGTAATTGTGATTGGGCTGTTAAAGGTGGGATGGGAAAAAAAAAAAGGGGCCTTTTCCCTGATTGTCTTGTGTATACATTTTGGAAATGAGCTGTTGCTGTGCAAATTATCCAGCACAAATATACCTCATTTTAAGCCAATCTGTTATATAAAAAATCCATTTCCCAAAGGATAAGTTAGAGAATGGCTTGATTCATAAAGAGGTACACACAGAGCCTGACTTAAATAGCATTTCCTTGGATAGTATATTCAAAATGAGTCTGTAGGGTGAAGAGGACTCCTCTGTTAAAAGTTTGCAATATATTTTTCCTACTCAAAGCCTTTTATTTCTATGGAAGAAGGCAAAAACAAAATATTGTTCTCTATTGCCTGTGGTTACATTAATTAAGTAATGTGTTCTGTATGCAAAGTAGAGAGTTAAGTCAGGAAATTCTGTTGATGCCAAATGATTTCCCCAGAATTGTAATGTCCGGCCTTTGTGTGGCTTGTTGCTGAGTGTGACATGCTGCACAGACCACGGGCATGGATGAGCGTGCCGCACGTCACGAACTAGAGGCGCAGGATGAAGTCCTGATCGGGGCAGGTTCTGTCCTCGGCGGCAGGAACAAGACCGTTATTTAGCACCCAAAGCAAGCCTCCGTGTTGCCGCGTCCCACGTCCTTGCCTGCGACTGTGCCACGAGTTCCCATTGTTATCCCCCATAAGCGCTTGTCTTCGGCTTTTGTACATGAGAAGATGGATGAGGTCTCTTGCCGAGTTGCGTGTTTAACATCTCTTCGGCCGATTTTATGCCTCTGTTCTTTTCATCCATGAACTGGAATTTCATGTTCTTAGGTCTCCCTCAACCCCTGCACTGGGCTGCCGTTGAGAAAGAGTCACAGAGAAGGTTCCTTAAAAAAGACAAATCTGATTCTTTGGCTGAGACGCAGCCGTGGATAGGAGTATGCCTTCCTACGCTTGGAGTTCTTGAAAGCACTGCTCTGCTTTCTTCAACTACAGCAAGGCGGGTTTTGAGGTAGCTCCTAAGGATTATGGGTTTGTGTCAGGAAGTCTGCTTTTGAGGAAGGAGTTGGGGAGGTGGGGGTACTGTGAGTGAAGGTGAGAGGAACTGAGGCTGAAGTTGACATCCAAAGTGTACCCTCTCTCCCAGGGTACTTCAGTGCAGGCCAGAATTTTGTTTTCACTTTCCTCTTTCCTCTCCTTGCTTACATTAATTCTTACAGCAGATGCATTTATCTCCCTCCCTTTGAAGCTGTTTGATTGTACACACCTAGAGTAGCTTCAATTCCTGAGCCCTACAAGCTGAGTGGCTGGAGTAGCTGCGCAACAAACACTGTGCATGGTGTGTGTAGTGAACCAGGACCGCCCTGCACAGCGGCCCTGAACGTGAGTCCCAGGAGGGAGCTGTTCCTTTCTAGGAAGGAACCCACCTGGATGCCGCGCCCCAGCTCTCTTTGATTTCCGTCCATGGCTACCTAATGGTGGCCAGGTCTTCTCAAGCTCAGTTGAGGAACTTTGGTTTTTAAAAGGAGAAAACACATGTAATTCCCTGTGGACAGCAGAGTCACACTGACTCTAGGATGCTTGTTCACCTTACAAGTGGGATAAGCCTGGGTTACAAACCAGTGGGCATCAGAAGGGGGATTCTTTCAGAGCTCTGATGTGGGAGTATTGCACCTTGTCTTTCTTAACTTGGTGTTAAGAGAAGATTTGATAAAGTGTGATTTTTTTAAAAAAGAAGCTAAGTCACAATTGGAAGCAGTTCTTTATCTGTACCAACTATGGAAAGCAAAGTGTTGACCTTTAAGCTAAGTGTGAGTACCTTTTTCCACAGAAAGCAATTAGAATATTTCTGTGAGGGGTCTTTCAGTTGTTTCACATACCAGAAGGGTGGGACAAAGTAGTTTTACAGTTTGGGTATGCAATACACAGATTATTCTTGTATTATTATTAATTGTATTATTTGCCAAACAAAGACAAATACACCTACTGTATTGGCAATGTGGGACATGAACTTGCAAATCTCAGAGAATAGCCTTCATGGCTAAGGGAAGAGCAAGTGCAGAGGTCCTGAGACAGAAGTGTCCTTAATGTGATTCAAGGAAACACTGAGTTCAAGGGCATCTGAAGCAGAGTGAAAAAGATGGAGATAACAAAAAATGTGATCGAGGGTTGGAGGGGGAAGAGCATGTAAGGCCTTGTAAACTATTATATAGTCTTTGGTTTTTACTCTGAATGAGATGTGGAGCTATCAGAAAGGGTTGAGCAAAGAAGCGGCAATACACTGGCTGCTGTGTTGAAAAAAAATACTTGAGAAGGTCATGGCTAGAAGACAGAGAAACATGTTGGGAAGCTATTGTAGTAATCCAGACGGAGGAGACAGTGGCTTGGACCAGGGTCATCTTAACAAAGATGGTGAGAAGGAATTGGAGTACGGACACTGAAGGCACAACACTAGGGTTTGTCAATGGAATGGATGTGAGGAGTGGGAGAACAGAAGTTAAGGATGACTCCAAAGCTTTTTGACTTAAGTATCTCCATTTACAACATGGAAGGCTTTAGGGGGAGCAGAGTTGGAGTGGGGAGGGAAATGAGGAGGTTCCTGATTTATTTTTTTTTAAACTGTACTTATTGTGTGTTTAACAGTGACCTGAAACACGTTTTATTTAACATCACCAACTGGTCTGGGCTTGGATTTTGTAAATGGGGACTTCATTCTCTCTCCTAAAGAGAGCCAGTTGATTACAGGACAGCATTTATTGTTAAAAGGTTTTTTCCTTGTGTGGAATGAAAAGCTGTCTTTTACTTCCATCCATTGATCTTGCTTGTACTTTTTCCCTGTCAAAAAGAATATCTCTTATGGGGAGTGAAGAGAATGTCTCTCCTCATTACACACCTTTGGCTGTCAGAAAGTAGCTATTTTAACTTTTCTCAACCTGTTGTTTCCACATCTGGAAAAGAGGATGGTAACATGGGACTTCTAGCTTTTCACCACATTTTATTACATTCTTCTTAAGTCTTTTCTTCTGTAGACTGCCAATCATGTCTGTGCCAAGCATTTCATATGGGCCACTTAACTTAATCCTTTTAACGTTTTTTAATATCTTGCTGCTCAAAGTGTTCATCTGTGGACCAGGCCCATAGGTATCGTCAGGCATATGATTCTGTGGATTAGCAGGAGCCTCAGCTAATTCATAGGGACGTTGAATTTTGAGGGGCATTGTTACAAGATTGATGTATATGAATAAACTAAAACTCAGAGAACTAAGCTAGCCCAAGGCCATGGGTTCCATTTAAGCAAAGAGTTGAGCCTAAGTCAGGTAGCATCTTAGGTAAACACCTCACATATACTAAGAGTGTAGGGGTTATTGTCAATGCAAATTCCCTAGGTATTTCTCATCAGAGCCATTTTTAGACTCACTCTCTTTGTTCTGCACTTCTATATTGGATTTCATTTCTAAGTGTAGTTTAAATTCTATGCAGTTTTAAGGATTCAGCTCAGTTTTTGGTTGTGCATTTTTGAATTATATGAATTTGAATGATATGAACTATTTGAGTTTTATGAATTATTCAGGATACTGGTTTTCCATTGACATTCTAGCTTTGTATTTCTAGAGACTTTTCTTCATTTTCTGGCTCACCTGGGTGTGAAGCAGGGCCTGAAGACACAGCACTGATGACTCCTCTTTCTAGATGGACGGTAACCCTATTCGGGAAAAGCTTTTTCTAGACCAATGGTTTTTGACATGAGGCAGCTTTGCCAAACAAACAAAAATAAAACAAAAAAAATTAAACATTCCATCGGAATCTCTGGGGCTGGGGTCTAATATCAGTATTAGGAAAGATGGTATCCAATGTCAGGAGTTTTGACTGTGACCCTTGCACCCTTATTACCTAAATCAATGAATTCTTAACTTTCTTTTGATACTATTATCCCAAACTTTTATTTTGTAGACTCTTTAAAATTATCCTGAGAATCTATTATGTTCACTCA